AATCGTTCGGTCATAAAATGGCATGCTTCAAACCAACGCAGATCGCAGAGATCAGAACCGACGATGCCACCAGTAGCCAAGCGATATCCCTCAAATTCACCTCACTTCCTGAGAAAAAATGGCGAAACCGTCTCTGCTTCCATCTCTAAGAGGGAGAGGAAAGTCCAAACTGCTTGTTTACCGGCCTTCCCAAGCTCAAAGGAACTCAGGGAGTCAGAAATGGCAATGGGTCAAAATGCAAATCGTACCCCCAGTGAACACACAATCCAACCACTAAAATAGTTTGTAAAATGGGTGGTGCATTCACCTACCCACCAAAATGGGATCCCAAAACGGTTTTGACAACCACAGCCATAAGGGTCGCTTGGCGTGGGAGTGAGTCACTTTTCGGCCTGCAGCTCCTGAAGCTCCATGGCGTGCTGCGCCACCAAAGCCTTCAAACGGGCAAGCCGCAAAAAAGCCACGAAAAACAAAGCCTAAGCAAACGCTATGCCAAACAGAAAACCACTAAACCATCCTAGTTTACCATAAACCATCCCTAAACCCAAAAGCACCCGTAAGACTTCCCTGAAACACACTCTCATTGGGTTTGTGTCAACAAACACTGGTACCCTTAAGAAAGTTACGCACACACACAAATGACAAGTCCAATCACCCACCAAACACACCGTCACCCGAAATACACCTCCTGTTTTGGTCATTACTCTGGGGGTATGTTTGGGCTGAGTGTTTTCGGGCAAAAAGGGGGGGGCGTACAACCCCAAGCAGTTTTTGACAACAGGGGCTTGCCCTGAGTGGGCAAAACGACTACAAACGCTTTCTCCCATGACCCTGAGGATGCTTGAAGTAATACTGTCACAAACCCAATTCTAATTATTTCGGCTTTAGGCGCCATTGTAGCACCCATCCATCCTTTTTTTGGGGGGGGTTCTTGGGACAACAAAAGAGGTCCTCGCTTTTCCGCGGGCCTCCACTAAGGAGTGGAAGGTGTTGCTAATCGTGAGAGCGCCGTTCACATTCGGACCTCAGCGAGCCAAACGCTCAGCGGCAGCCCCCTTGGGAGCGCAGGGAGCCAAGACCCGAGAAGACATTCCCCGAATCCCCCCCACCTTAAGGGGGAGGGGGGTGGGGGGGTCCCACACTTCCATTCATTCAGTCTTCCCCACAAAAGGGAAAATGGAACCTTAAATGGAGATCTCCAGGGATCGAAATCCCCCCTCTCCCCCAATTCCATTGAAGGGGGGGATTTGCCCCCAGCCCACGGCACTCAAAACAAGCTCCCACGATAGCACCACATCTGACAACTGAGCTGACGCGACATGCGTGAATTTCCGGGCTTACGTTCGACAAGTGCGGCATCTGTACCAAGACTTCCTCCAGTAACCAGAGGGATGTTCCGGATTTACAGCTTGCAAAATACAGTGCATCTGGTGACAGCAGCAAGTTGGCAGGATTGTAACATGTTGCGATTGCTTTATCTGCGAAAACATGTATTGCTTCAACTGCTTCTGTATGAGAAGCCGGCCGCGCTGGCGGAATGTCAGCCGAACTGGGGAAAATCCGATCGCTGTGCTTGTGGGCTAGGTCGCACTGCGCATGCTGTGCGGGGCTTTGCTTCAGACAAGAACAGCCAAACTGAAATCTATTTGCATTCTTGAATGTGCATGTTAGCCATGGCTCCATGACTGTCCGTCGACGGATCAAGTGAGGCCAACGCGCAAAGGGGCGCGTGTGAATCGTGTGATACCTTTCCATGACAAATCCTTGTTGGTAAGAATCAAGACTGGTTGAAACCAAGCGTCACCTTGTGTGAAGATCAACCAATCCAAGCAAATCGCGCCAGTGATTGCCAATTCATCAAGCAAGGCAGGCAATTGGAACACTACTTTAATAGTAGGCGTTGGGTAACCGAGGTTGGGATACGTTCATTAGGAAGGAGTGATCCTACAACTGACTTAGCCAGCATACCAAGCATGTGAGATTGCTGAGCATTCCTTGACCGGCATCCAGCGGCGCCACCCAATGCCGCGATACGCCCAATGTTTCTTCGCAGCAGGTCGAGCCGGACCGGTGACGCCATGATGTGCGCCCATTGGCCCACTCATTCGGCCCCTCCAAGGCTCTCATTCCGTTTCCTGCTCATGCCCTTATTTGGCTGCAAGCTGAACCTAGTTGCTCAAATGACCCGGACAACTGGTCTCAAAGTCTCAATGCGTTCGCCATAAGCCCCGATGTTTCTTCTCGGTTTGAGCAACGGATCAATCGCAGCCATGCAGCCGGTCAGCGTTGCACTCAGGGTTGCTCACGCGCTTGGAAAGCTGCAGGACTACCTGTTACTTGTCTGCTTGTGTTTTGTCTGAGCATCCCGGCCAAGCATAAGCTTGCAAACCCGCCTGTGGACATGAACGTGCGAGAGTGTGCGTGCGTGTTTTTGGTTGGGGTTGGTTTGAAGGGAAACCAAAAGGAACACTACCTTGCTTCAGCTCCCGTTGTTTAAACACGCACTGCTGGCAAACCGCATCGGGGATTCGCCAGTTTGTCTTCTTTGCCCCCGTTGAACGGAGGTCTTGGCAGTGCCGATGGCGAATATTCTGCCATGCCATGTTTCAGATAAGCGCCAAGCATACAGTCACTTTTTCTATAGAAGCCAGGTGCGGTTTGTGATTGGGAGGTAGTGCCTACGACCCACAAAAAAGACACAACTTGGCACTCTTCAGTATATTTCTGCACCCACTCGAGCTTCCAAAATACAACGAAACAATGCAAACCTTGGTGAAGCCAAAAGATTAAACAACAACTCCACGAACTGCCCGCCTTCGGGGAAGACTGGCGGTGTGCTTATTTGTGTGAAAGCAAAAACACGCACAAGAGCAAATAAACAAACAAGCAAGCAAGCAAACAAGCAAGCAAACACACACACACAAAACAAACACAACTATGAACGTCTTGTCTTCAGAAGAGACGGTGTGGTTGTTCAGTTCTGTTAGTTTTTGAGGCTTTGTCGGTTGTCTCTGTTTTCTCGAGGTGTCCTGCCAAGAATCTTGAGAAAGCCAACAAACTACGCGTATGGAATGGAAAGCTTGAAAGTAGGTTAAACATTAGTGTATTTGCATCTAGCAATTCTTGAAGACATGACCATGATCTTGACTTTTGAATGATTCGAGCTTGTCCAAAACAGCGCACGCTCATAGCCCGCTCTGAAAACAAAACGGGCATGGGGCATGGTCAGTAGAGAAACACTCAACATTAGCTGGGGTCTGCCCACGAGTAGTTGTTCAGTCACTGTCTAGTATGGATGGTGCAGACCTCGATCTACTTGCTTGGGAATTGGCCTTGTGCCAGGTCCGGTAGTTTGGCTTGCTTATGCTGGCTTTCACCTACAACACAAAAGATGCATCCCCGAATCCCCTGCACTTTTGTTATTTCAGGTCGGGGCATCAGGATGGGACAACTGTTTTGCTCTCCCCACAGGCGCTATCCGAACCAGGGATAGGGATCCAAGCAGAGTAGTTTTTCATGCTGTTCCCATTCCACGCTGCAAATATCTTGGCTTTGGCACGGAGTCGCTTGTACCGGACTGGGCCTCTTGCCCATCAAGAGGCTAAGTTGCCCCGGCCAAACATTCTTGGAGCGAAAGAACACGGGCCCTGAGATTAGCAGACTACTTCAATACCAAGTGGTGCAAGGCTGAGCCCTCTGAAAGTAATATTGCGGTTTCCCGATTGGACAGCTTTTCGGTATGCTTCTGAAATCAACCGACTGAGTGGCAACATGCTCTTTTCCTGTCAACCTCTTGCCGAAGCAAACTCAACTCAATCAACGTGGCTTTGACTGTAGCGGGACGAGTGATAGCATTGTTTCCGGTGGCTCCCAAAGCCCGTGGGTTTTGGCCCCAGTCCTTCCCATCTGCCCGCGAGGTCGCTGGGAGAGTACACTGCCAGCCTCTAAAAGGAGTCATCAGTAGGGGGTCCTGCCCTTTTCTGGTAAGCTTGATTCGGACTGTGCTTGCCATATGCTTGTGGAAATATATTGGCCATGGATCCTCTACGGAACCCTGCAGTGCACTCCGAATTATTATCCAGTGCCACAATCCAAATACAAATTCAAGGTCTGAAGCGAGTTTTGCGCGCCCGTTCCCTTGGGTCGGGCCTTGCATATATTACATTGCATCTGGGCAATTCAAGTAGCATGCGTATCTTCCCACAAGAGTCTACATGCACACATGCGACATGTGCAGCTGCTATGAAATGCCTAGAATGCCCAGAATGTGCAGATTCACTCGTATGCAGCAAGGGGGGTCTGCCCCTGCTTTGTATCTCGGTGAAGCGAGAACCCTCCACCAAATCAAAGCGGCCATTGATGCCCGAGCGTATTTATGTGTGCCGCATCTCCCCACTACGGGCACATGAAGTCTACACAATTCAACGTAGAAGACGCACTGCTGCTGAAAGACCTGGATCTGGGTCCATGCCCGCAGGAGGGAAGGTAAGCAGCATGCAAGAGTTGCAACCGAATTGGCTGAGTGGCCCTGCGTCCCCGACTCGCGCCACAAGGTAACAACTCGCGGTAGACAGCCTGAAACATGGCTTCATAGTTGGTCAGGGAAGCCTTCACTCATCCAAGCCTCTCTACGAGGCCAACTCCCTGACTGCATCTGACTGCCGCTCTTGGACGGACTTCCCCAGCAAAAAGACCCACCCCTACCGTTTGCATGGAAACCGCCTTCAAAACCTCAGGCCAGAGCGTCACACCAAGAAGTTTTAGGCAGTCACCAAGCCAATTCGCTGAAATGATCGCGGTATCGCTGCACCCAGGGGGCATTGCATTTCCCACCCCAGCAGTGCACCAACTTCGGGGGAGCCCTCAACCTGGCCAAGATGCAACGCTTACCCTTCCACAAACAAAGTCCCATCACAGGACTTTGTAATCTTATGAGATATGCAGCAGCCCTCTACGCCTTTGGGGCGCTTGTTCAGGAGACAGCCCTGCCTGGACCCCTGTCACCTTGGCTTCAGCATGGCGCGGGCCTTCTTCAGGGCCAGCGCGCCTGTGCGCATGGCCTGGTTCACGTGGTGTTTGCGAAGCTGGCCTGCAGCAGGGCCCGGCTTCAAACCACCCGAGCCGCAAACAAATGGATCCGACATCAGATGCCACGCGGCCACACATGATTGTTTTGCGCAGCTGATCTATGGCCATGGAAAAAGGGCAACTTGCCCTGTTTGGTGATGAACATGGAGCCATCATGGAGCCCACACCATGATCAAAGGAAGTTTGGAAAGAAGGCAAGACAAGAATGTGTGCGTGGCGAGGGAATAGAAACGTTCAAATTCTGCCACCTTCTGAGGGTGTCGGTTCCTTGGGGTGGTCGAAGATGGCTGAATTGCGTCGCCGTTTGGAGCAAACATTCGGAGCCGGGCTCAACGGCACGTTCGCGCATTGACGGGTGCAGATTTCGTGGCGCAGAGATTTTGCAAGGTGAGTCAGGCGCAGATCTCTTTCAGAAGGCAAAACGGACAAATAGATAGAGACGTAGACATATAGACAGGCAGGTAAGGTAGATGGATAGATAGGCAGATGAGCAGCGTTATCATTTTTTACTTGCTTACGCGGCGCCTACGCCACGCCTACGCTAAACGCAATAGTCCCACAAAAACGCTTACGTGAGACCGAGCTGACTACATACCTGCCTACGCTGCCTACGTGGACAACGAGGAACTCAACGTACTTTTCACGCTCGGCTACCGAGAGGCTCGTTGCGACTGCGCTTGGACAGAACGTGGTGAGGCGGAGGGGGCTTCCAGTCAGATTTTAGAAATGCCTACGCGGAGCCTACGGGGCGCCTACGCGAAAACCATTTGGCTTGAATTTCGGATACTATTATTTTTTAAGCCAGCCGCGCCGCAGTACGAGTTGCCAGCTGCTCTGCTGGACAAGCGGACGTCTACTCCCTCCGCCAGCGACCGCCAGCTTGCGAGGCCATGCTGCAAGCAGCTGACGAAAAGCTGCTACCCGCAGCTGCGCCAAACTGCCGCCCACACACGGTCACACAACCATGTCTTGCGTAACAACAACGCTCATAAGCGGTCGCGTACGCGACTGCCTACGCGAAGCTTCGCAGCACGATATTTCGCGAAACGCCTACGAACGCCTACAGGCGCCTACGCGGTGTCAGTCAAACGCCAAGGCAACATGTAAAAAAATGTTGCTCCGACGATGTGGGCCTTCATCCCGAAAAAGAAGCTCTTTCCAGTTTGGTACATAGATAGTTAGATAAGTAAGTGAATGAGCAATTCCTGCATGTTAGATAGATACACCGGCAGATACGGACATACACTAGGTATATAGGATAGATCGACACATAAGATAGATAGATGGATCAGATGCGATAAAGAAAGATGAAGAAGGCCCCATGCGCGGCACAAACCCGCGCCCGGCCCGAGGCATACAAACTGGGCAAAACCCACAATTCTGCCAAGAAACCTGTCAAATTGCACAGAAACCAGGTCAAGTTCCAGCCTGAGAATCAGTTAAATACCGGCCCACCAGCCTAGAAACCAGAAATTGTGAAAATTGCCCCTAGGATTTGGCGGCCCAAAACAGGGGATCGCGCGATTTCGGGCGATTTCCTCCGGTTTTGTTTTTGGTTGGCGCACACCTCTCAGCACATCCGGTTTATCAGGCGGTTTTGGGCTGTTTTGTTTCTGCCTGAGGCCCCCGTTCTCTGATAGAAACCACAGCCGCCCAGCCCAATTCTAGCTCCGGCGCGGCAGGCCCAAGCAAAGCTTTTGGCCCTGTGGCTCCTGCGGGTCTCGTTCTAGCCCTTGAAGCCATGTGGAAACGCGCGCACATGCACTCCCCGTATATCTTGGAAACCAGCTCGCGCATTTCGGTGCCGACTCACTCACTTAAACAAACACAACACTTCAAGGCAAACCAAAAGCCAGCCAAAAGCATACTAGCCGAGGCGGATTGTTCATATGTACATAGGTACATAGAAAGATAGATAGGTTGGATAAGATTTGCTTAGCTTAGATTGGATTAGATTAGGCAGATAGACAGATAGACAGATAGACAGATACGGAGAGAGGGAGGTAACAGTAAGATTCAAGCAAGAAAGAAATGAAGAACGATGAACTAACAAACAAAGGAAGGAAAGAAGAAAGAAAGAAAGATGACAAAGAGAAAGAAGAGAGATATAACAAAATACATAAATTAAGAAACAACAAAAGACAAAAAGAGCAAGAAGAGAACAATAAAGAAAAACAACGATTAACTATGTTTTTTGTGTATTGATTGAAACTTCCGCCTACCGGCTTCGCCGGCCCTCCTGGTAATTGTTTCGGCAGGATTCAATTGGGTGAATGTGATTGCAGGGAAGGAGTCTTGTTAGACACACCTGGGACAAAAGGGCAAACGCGCCAGTGTCAAAAACGGTCTACTCGAATTCAACAAGTTGGCTTTCATCAAGGGTGAGCTTGTGTTACTCACAAATATTCTCTCGATGTAAAGCTATGCAGACAAAGCATGGCTTTGTAAGAAACAACCACGAAAAGATGCACCCGCGGAACACTGACATGAAACCAAAAGAACAACTATGCAAACAACATCCACAAGCGATATCCACAAGGCTTTGGATAGCCTCTTCCAGTGAGATGCTCTCAACTTGACAGACAAGGGGACCCAACAACTGGATCAATCATGAAGGTATAATGTTCAAAGAATCACATTCGACCAATTGTGCTTGGATTCTTGGAACTGGTGAACCCCAAACCTGCATTTGCAGGTCCTTCAGTTTCACAAGCATACATCTGATACATCTGGCTGTGGCTCAAAATATGGTACCCAGAATGGCACCTTGGTACATGGAAACAAAGACCAACAGCAGCTGCATAAACTTGAGCCACAGAGCCACATCTTTTTCCTGTTAAGGCCCGGCCTTCGGACAAAGTCTGCAAGTCGGACGTCGCCGACTCAGCCGAGGTCGCCGGCGTCGTCGGCGCCGTCTCCGGCGGTTCCGAGTCTTTGGTCGGCGCTGCTCCTCTCACGCCGCCGCAATGGACATGGGACGTGGGACATGAATTCTGAACCCCTGGTGGCCCAAAGGACATTTCCTGTGGTTCCAACCAGACTTGGGGTTTGCAAAGCGATCCGATCGAAGTTACTGCCATTGGCTGAGCCTTGCCAGCAGTATGTTTAGACCTTGGTGCTAGTTAAGTACCAGCCAAAATTAGTTCACCATTTTGAGAACAGAAGAGGGCGCCGTGGGGGGGGGGGGGGTGGAATTCTGAAAAACATGTTTACACATGTGTTTGCCGGTTTCTTGAGGAGTGCAACAAGCATAGGATTTCATTGGGCAACTAAAAGCCGATGCAAAGGGTTGTGAGTTTGAGGAGTGCGCCAAATAATTGATTGTCACTGGGCAATTAAAAGCGGATGCAGAATTGATTTGTTGTTGAGGTTGATTGTTTTCCCCTCATGCTCTCTGCCTGAAGTCTCCACTGCACACCCTTCCCCCTCAGTATTTCCCTGTATGCTCGATGCTTTTAGTATTGCACTTGGGCAACCTGTTTTGGCACACGCGCCCTGGATTGAAGGACACGGTTGGACAATCCAAGCCACTCTGGATTCTTTCCTCGTGAGTTCTATTAAATATCTTTATCAAAATCATCTAGGATGATAGTAGGGGAATACTGACGAAACAGTTGGGGTCGTATTAAGGGAATACTGGGGGAGTGCTGAGGGAGGGGAACAGAATACTAAAGGATATGATAGGATATGGGTATTCAGGAAATGATAGGAACTCATCAGGGAGTAGAAGGGAATACTAGCAGAATATTGAGAGAGATTGCGGAATACAAGAGGGAATGCAAGGGGAATGCTAGGGGGAATGCAAAGGGATATGCTAGGATAATAGTAGGGGAATACTGGGAATACAAGAGGGAATGCAAGGGGGAATGCAAGGGGGAATGCTAGGGGGAATGCAAAGGGATATGCTAGGATAATACTAGGGGTGTATCAAGAAAATACTAAGGAATACTAGTATTAGAGGGGAAAATGCTGGGAAGTACTGAGAGAATACTAGGGGGTAAGAGACTAAGAGAATACAAAAAATAATGCTAGAGGAATATCAAGGAGAGAATGCTAAGGACATATTGAGGGAATACTAGGGGACCCCTGCGGGAATGCCAGGTGAAAACAAGCCTCAATGCAGCCTGCTTCATATTATCCTGCCTGAAAAGCCCAAAAAACACCTACATTCACCAAGTTTCATAGCTCCACCCCCCTCGCTTCCCGCTCTCTTTGGAGAAACACTGGCATGTCGTCATACCTGAGTGGGTGCCAATTCGCGAGGGGCGCGGAAGTTAACCCAAGTTCAAGCTGCCGAGCCTGGCTCCAAGGCCATGCTGAGGTTCATCAGCATTGGCATTCTCCGCGGAGGGCAAAGGGCCTGCGAAAAGGCAATGGCTCACATGTGCAAATCACCTGAGGAGTGGATCACTCTCACTTGGCGAGAGAAGGGTCCCAGTCCATCTCCGTGCGAGATGCGAAGCTTGAATACAGGAGAGGCGGCTGGCGATGTCTGAGCTCCCAGGCCCCAGGGATGGTTGGTTGGCTCATACTCAAGTGAGCGTGGTTTACGGTGCCTAGTTGGGCTGCCACCTGGTGTCGACCTGCTGGTGGCCCAACCCATCATCATTGAACAGCAGAATGCCTTACTCGAAAGGCCACAGGATCCTCTTTTTGGGTTCCATGCCAAATTGTCGGGGAGTACTTTTACTTTGGCTCCTACTGTCGCCCAAGTTGAACGATCCGCGCCTGTTCTGGCCAGAGCTCGTCATCCGTGTCAGGCCAGGGTTCCGATGGCGCTTTGCAATCGCAATCGCTCTGCGACTCCTGCGGGGTTCAAACCAATGCCATTGACCGATTGGACATGCATGCTGAACAAAAGGGCCTCGTGTATGTCGCATTTGAACATCCCCTTTCAAAAGGAAGGCTCCACAACAGATGCAGCAAAGAGGTTGGTGAGCCCACAAAACACGGAAAAGAAGGCTCCTGAACAACGGCTGGCTACGATCGGTAAGCACAAAACCGCCATCCAATGGGCATTCTGGTTGCTGACTGGTCTCGTCAATCTATAAGGTAACCTTTTAGGAGCTTTAGGAGCATGACTAGGGCAAAGATTGCAAGCCAAACGGATCTAAAAGGCAAGCCTTCATGTTCAAAGGAATATGTTTTTCGGGGCACCCCCTTTTGTTCCATGTTACATTCTTTGCATGGTACGGGAAACAGCTTCCGCACACCTCGCACGGCACGCAGGGCATCAAACCCGGAGAGCTCTGCACTCGGCGCAGTGGCACGCGCCTGGCTGGGAATGACACAGGGCAAATGCTGACTTGATTAAAAAGGGGCGTCCCATTAAAGATGGTGCCTTCCGTGAGCGTTCAGCCGGAGAAAAGATTCCTCCCATAAGCCGATTGTGGACCCCCCAAAACCGATACCGTCGTAGATTGTCCGTTGATGTGTTTGTGTTAACCCCGTACTAGTAAAGCCCATTCATAGGAGGGGTGTTCCCCTTCAAATGTGCTGAATTCCCAAATGGGGACACAACCCTATTCATCAACCAGGGGTTCATCAATCTGGGGTTGCCCCTACTCATCCAAGGCGCGCATCTTCCTCATCCCAGACAGGCATGGCCGAAGGGAAGAGTTGCTGCCAGCACATGGGCGAGGGGAGAAATCTAAGCCTCAAAAGGCTGCAGACAGAGATGCAAGCAAACGCACCTCCCCCCCCCCTCGCAGCTGCAATGCACGGCAGCGCTCGATTTCTGGTAGTCACATGCTGTGACGGTTCCCATCGGCCCCTTTGTGGCTGACCAGCAAACGAAACCTTCTCAACGGTCTTGGCCGGACTAGGGCCAACTAAGCACCGTCACTTTCCCCAACCTGACATCCCAGTATCAAAACTGAATAAGGCAGAGCATGCAATTCATGCTGAAAAATGAATCCTGAAATACTCACTACTCCCCATCTGGAGAGCATTGCCAATCGCCGATTGCCTCATGTTTTCTTAAAGGTCTTTGCTTCAACGGACATTTCAAGAGTTCCCGCTAGAGACAACACCCTATGGCCTCGCCAATGAACGCTGGAAAACCAGCGCGTCACGCAGATGTTTGTAGGCGAGTCCCCCCCCTCCCCTCCTCCCCTCCTCCCCCCCCCCAAGTCTCACCAACTGTACCAAAGACACCGGAGATGTTTGACCGACCCTCATTTGGGTTTGTGCTCCAGTGAGGAAACCTCCCCCCGCAACATGGGTTTCCTCCAGTGTAGCCCCGTTTTTGCTGGCTCCCAAAAAACGCTACGCCCATCCGCTTGCGCCGTGGTGCTCTTGCTATCGCTTCTGCCGCGCATGAACACGTAACGCTTGCCGCGGATGCTGTTCCGCAAGCTGGTCCTGGTAAGGAGCTGGGACCGCCAGGGGTGTCCCGTGCCAAAACCATCTTCGGCGTATTCATGCTTAGAGTTAGGCCCAGTTATAGAATGTATATATTGTTGTTTGCTTCACTTTGAGACACCGGTGAAAGGTAATGTATCCAAAGTCTAGACAGGTATTTTTGAGGGAACCCAGGAACAAATCCCTGGATGAAAAGGAGCTGTCCCATTCTATCGGTCTGATCATACCTGATCACCTTTTGGGGGTGATCCCCCCGACAAGTCATCCGCGAGGTTTGTTAAAGATGCAGTTGGCCCTGAGTGAAATTGGTCCCTGGCAAATTGGTACTTTCTGTGGCTTTCCGAAATGAACTGGTACCAACGGCTGGGGCATCAGCGTTTTCAGTATGGCCACGCTAGTCCTGAACTGACTCAGGGCCATAGAGGCGCCATTGCAACCTTTGGCCCCCCTCGTTGCTCCGAAACAAAATTGGAGTGAGGCTGGCCCTAGGAAATTGTCCTCCTGTTTCCGATGGCAGGGGCGCTGGCAGTGCCGGCATCCCGGGAGTGCCGCGAGTGCCGCGAGGAAGTATGTGAGGAACGCCGCGTCTGTGGCCATGGTACCACTCGGTGCTCTTCGTCCTGTCTGGGTGGAGGCGGGGGGAGGATTTGGTTGGGAAGGGTGCCATGGACAGAGTCAATCTTGCCGACTCAAACCTGAAATGCCCGATGCTCTGACAAAGTGGTAACATAGACTATGTCCACATGCACACATCTAAGACATCAGCAGAGACAGGTTCCAACCACCTCCCACAAACAACCTTGGCCCAACAGAGACAGCCACCAAACACACCATTGACATCCTGAAAGCCACGCCCAGGAAAACCCAAAGCTAGAAAGTCGATCCCGAAGACACCCGATCCCTGAGACCCCCGAAGTCGTTCCCAAAGACATCGCCCACGACAACTGCAAACACCAGCCAAAGACATGCCACAAGAACATCGAAAAGACATTCCAAAGACACCTCTACAGACATGCCCGCAGAATTTGCCGCAGACACCCCCTGAAAGACATTCCCAAAACCTCCCTATATAAAAACATTGCGCCAAGCTAGCTTGTAAAAACACACTGACATACTATCACCGAAAGCAACCTATCCCAAAACATCAAGGGGGTCTCCCAACACAACCGCAAACATTCTTCCCAAAGATAACCAAAAGGCATCTCAGCAAAGCATACCAAGACACCTTCCAAAGACACCCCCAAAACCACTCCCCACGACATGATCCAACCTTCCAGCAAGAATCACCCAAAACAACTGCCCAAAAGCAACACCCAACACAACAACATCCCCAGCCAAGACACCTTCCAAAAAAATCCCAAAATCATCCTCGACTCTCCCAAAGACACCTTTGAAGTCACGTCCCTCTAAGGACCTCGATAAACAAAGGTTGCTTTACACTCGGCGTACTGGAGCGCGCCTGCCACGACAGTTAATGCGTAAGCGCTGCCCATGCAAAGCGTTGCGCCGGCCACAAAACTCAAAGCGCGACCCTCCAAAGCACTACGCCACGAAATCTGCGCACAAGGCTTCCAAGCTCTGCACCTGCCACACAAATTAGCATCTCCCCCCCTCCCCCAAAAGTACTGCGCCTGCCAGGCTACCTGATCTATCTGCACACTGCATCCAGGTGCTGCGCCTCCCCCGAAAACCAACACTACTGCGCCTGCCACGCTGTCTAATTCGGTGAAAGTGCTGCGTCTGCCACGAAATTTGAGCAAAGAACAAAGAGCTCTAAAGCGCTGCGCCTGTCATGAAAATTCCCTCGCGAAGAGTCAAAGCGTGCACGCGTAGCCAAAATTAGCACAACACTGCGACGCCAGAATGATTTCGACCGACTTTAGCAAATTGTAAGCTCGCCAAAGCGAGCCAATTGTACGACGAGCAGAATGACACCGGCACAAAGGCTTGCACACACATTCCAAGCAACCTCAAAACGTCGCACATCGCAGTGGCATGGAGGCGCAAACGCGCTGCCGTCCAAAACGCTGCACCGCGCAAAAGCCACGATTTACGCACAGGAGCAATAAAACAACATTTTGCAAGTCCTGCAAATCGCACATGCAGAGCCTTCCCCAATTGTGCGCCCTTGTTGCGAACGGTTGCTGACTGTTGGGAACTCTACAGCAGCGCGTCGCGAACACGACCTTCACCCCCAAACCCCACTTACAACAAACGGGAACCCTTGGCTATGCATTCGGGAAAGTTAGGGGCTGGCCCCATCATCCCTTGAACATGTGACGACACCCTCCTGCCTGTGGCCCCGTTTCATCTGCTTTAACAGACCCCAACATTTCAGCGTGGTACATAAGGCATGATGAAAAGCTAGAAGCGTCATCTTAAAGCCACGTTTTGCTGATTTGATATTGGTTTGCGTGAAGACCGCGCTGCAACACATGCCGCCCGCTGCCCCATGGGCCCCAACGACCGATCCTCATCTTCGTCCGGAATCGCTGGCTTGCGCGTTTTCACGCCATGAAGGCTCTGAAAGCGCTCGTCAGACATCAGCCAGCACCCTGGTGCAAGCCCCGGTGTTGGCACGTGACTGATCCCTTGAGCAAGTGACAGTCAGATTTCGTTGGAACATGTTGGAACCCAGCTAAATCAACCCGGCCCAAGTTCTTTTCTGGTGAAAAGGCGCACCTCCCCTCCAAAAGTGGTCCGGATCCCAGAAGGGACACCCCTCATTCATCAACTGGCGATTTCGCCCTTTGCCCACGATCAGTCATCCTGTCAAAAAAACGACTCACATCTCAGATGGCCATGAGAACTCTGTAAAACCGATCTTCAAACGGGATCCTTCACTGCTACAGGGATTCATGTGCAAGAATATGTTCAGCCATGGTTGCTCGAAGTAGGGATACTATGAACCAAGAAAAGCTCATGAGTTTTTTTTACCCCGTACAAATGTTGTATATTATATGACCTCCATACCTCCAACACCCATGCTTGAAAATGCCCTTGGCATGTACAATGTACACACATATGCATGCATATACATATGGTACAAACTCACACGTGCATCTCTGAGCATTGATGCTGCACATAGATGCACAGATACGTTTAGATCGAGATACACATTATACATTAAACATGTGCATATGGGACGACATTAAACAAACAACATGTAGATATACACCTTGCACTTGATTGTGGCTGCGTCAGAACGCCCTCTTGCGGTTCGTCTGCGAAAAACACACTTTGCTGCTGAGCTGCGAACCGTAACAGTGCACAACGAATAACCAACGTGAATACATGCTGACCTTGCATGCTTGAAGACGCGGTGCACTATGCCAGTAGGGTGCAGTACAAGTAATCTAAGGGCTTGAAGAATGCATCACAGCCCTTGGTTGCTTCATGCTGTGCTTAGACCACATGTCGCGAGATTTAAGCATGGCCGCAAGAACAGGATCAGCCCTCGGTCTCCGAAATGAATATCGAAGTTGAAGCTCAACGCACTTGAGATTGACATGGATTGCCTACATTGACTAAGTCTGAAGAGCCTTCCACGCGACTGAAGTCATGTCTGCGCATTCAATTGAAACGGCGCAAAAGGCAAAAGCTGAGATCAAACAAGCTCGACCTCCCCCCAGAGCTTGACAAATTGAGGCACCCCCAAGGCACGAGGAGGGAGGTCTCTTGAGCCGACCCAGTGCCGTTGACTGGGCCAGGCGCGAAGGAGACTTGGGCCAAAAAAGTGACGGGCGCCCGACGATTGGTCAGCTCAAAAACACGCGTGCCTGTGCATCGTGCCTGTGCATCATGCGCCTTCCAACACGGAACGGGGGGTTCACTAGAAGAAAAGTTGTCCTCCCACACCTGCCTGTTGGGAGGGTACTGCCGAGGCGCGAGGGGGATCAGGAACCCTGAGCCGAACCAATCCGCATAGGCAAGGGTTGCTTATTTCGTCACTGCGAAAAGTATTTAGACTTAGAACACCTTGGGAACAGAAAGCACAATCATCAAAACCGGGCATTCTCAAGGCCGATTCGTCCGGGCCTAAGGCGTGAAGAAAAGCAAGGGGTTCAAGAACTGACAGCCCGAGGCCGAGAGGTGGCACGCACTTCGCACAGTTTCAGGCTTCACTCGGTGCGACCAAACGGCAAAACCAACAAAGTCCGTGGTTATGTGTTTTTTGAGGGGTGTTTAAAAAGAAGCACCACAAGATTGAGGCCCCCTAGTCTACTAGTGTCCTAAACTGC